AAACTGTTTTAATCCTTAATAACCCCTAAATCCTTAAAACTAAACTTTAATACAATATAGTTCTTAAGATATAATAAATAAATAATTTTGAGAAATTAGAAGAATAAAACGGTAAAAAAACCACGAGAATTCGCTCTAATTGGATCTCTCCCATGCACGAACCCCGAGGTGGCCGCACTACGTCTCCGAAATGAAGATTTGCCTCCGGCGACCCGCTTCCGACCGGGCTTCGGCCTAGTCTCTTGCTCTCTTCCTTCATTCGGACTCGTCCAACCCTAGCAGATGACCCGTTCGTTCTCCTTCCGGCGAATGAATTCTAACGGTGAGATACATCCTCGACGCTTGCTCCTCCGCCTTGCGCGTGAGCATGTGCCTATGTGTTTCATCCATCTCCAATCATCTGTGACGGCGACTACATCGGCGTAGCCCAATGACCTCCGTCCATCCGAGCCACCGGAACCACCTGCGCCATCGGACCCACCGGATTAGGGTTCTCCTCCTCAGCTTTCGGCTTCAATCTCTGTTTCGATGGCTGAGATTTTACCTCCTTTACCGGACTTCGTTGCTCCCCCACCGCATCTTGCTTCTGCCCCACCGTCGTCCGCCACTACTCCCTCTCTCTGGCCGTCTCTCGGTTGTTCACACCGGTCAATAAAACCAAACATCCTTCCCGTCCAGTTGATCCCAGCCGGTCATTATCCCTGCTTCGGTATGGAATTTAACTTGGACCCGACTCCCTGGTCATCATCCGCGGTCAAGCTTCATCAACTCCCTGGTCACCATCGGCCTCCATTGGCTACCGCCGGAGCTGTAATCGCCGGTAACGAACCACGGAGGAGAAGCTCCTCATTCACATATGTCCGTGACAAGAGCCTTAGAAGTTGGGCTTGGCCCAATTCTATGTATTGGTTTATTGGCCCATCAGGCCCATCCCTTATCCAACTCAAGCCCAGTTCATGTTATTACTTGGTTACGACCAGTTTTAACACAAGGCTGACTTTATCTTGGATGTGTTTTGATCCTGATATTTTCTCAGTGAGAAAATCAAAGTTTTCTAGATTCTCAAATCCTGTACATTCCTCCCGGTGGGAGAGAACTTGTCTACCTTCTCTTCTCTTTTTGAGAGTGAGAACCTTCTCGGAACCAAAATCGAGCATTTTCCTAATCTTTTTGTATCTTCGTGTAGCGGTTTATACCGGGCCAACGGATGCAACCAGATTCGTTTTGACGAAGTTCGGAGATATGGGTAGTCATTCAACGTCATGAATCAATGTGACCAAACTTATGCTTTCCGGCATAGCCGTGAGTTTAATACCGACGCATCAAGAAATTGTTTTTGATTCGCTGTCGTATAATTATCTTGTTTCTTCTGCTTTATGTTTTAATATTTTCATGTATTATGGTATGAACGGATGTAAGATCGATTTTTAAGTTAATGAAAAACAATGGATTGCAAAAAAAAAAAGTAAATAATTTTGA